TGTTTTATTATTTTCCTTTTCTATTTCACGAAAGTAAAAAGAGTTACCTATCTGATTCGTTCAGGCACTCAATTTAAAGAATATCAGTAACTTTTTTGACAGAGGGATTTTATATTTGCCGTGTTGGTAAGAAATAACGGTCAAAATTCAAAGTTATTCATTTTATAGACTATATCATAGCGGCAATTCTGCTAATTGAAGTTCGACAAGCGGTCGCACTCGCCACTTCAACTAACCACCCTACAATAAATTATGCAGAGGTAACGCCTATGCCAGTTAGTATAACGTATTATTGTTGTTGTCTTGAAAGTATAAAAGCGCTGTCATAATATTTAAAGTTATAGTATTTTGTAATAATTGATGAAATACACTAATTTATCTTAAAGCGAAACTAATTCTGCGTTAAATAGTGCAAATTAAAGATTGAAACGTAACCGATTATATGTATACACGCAAAACACCGCGTAATATATTTCTGGTTGGCTTGCCATAAATTTACTTGCAAATGTTCGGCTAAACGATACTCCATTTCGCAGCATATAATAACTATAATAATTAAAATTAATAATGTTCGTAGTATGAAAAGTAAAGTGAACGAGATTTTGGTTAAATGTGGTTTAAAGTAGTGGTGGTAGATATGATTACCACCACCAAAAACTAATGGCTAGATTCTCGGGTGCCACAGTATTTTTGTGCCAAATTTGGTTAAAATCGGTTTAGCGGTTTTTGACCAAATTTGACAGACAGATAGAACCATGAAAATATTTTGTATTTAGGTCATTTCTGGCCCAAATAACTCATTTTGAGTGATATTAAAAAAACTTTTTTTTGCCGATCTTAATAGCCTACCATACCTGTTAGTATGGTTGGCTAAACATTTTGTCCTTCTTTGCCTAAACCCATAACAATAGTTTATTAATTCTAACTATTTAATTCCTTTTTATTACCTTTGTGTTAATTTTTCTATTATCTTTAATTTAGATTAGATTAAATTTTTCGAGGTGGCTATTGGCCTGTTCCACTGCGACCTTTTCTGATCTATTCTGGTCCCCTTCTGAGCATTAGGTTACATAGTCCAGCCATATCCTTTTCAAAAAGTCTAGCAACATAGAGACTGAACCCTCCATATAGCTGTTTCTAAGTTTATGGATGTAGGAAGGAAGAGGGGGAAAGTTAATCACGGCGACCTTATAGATCAATTTTGTCCCCCTTTCTTGAGACTCATCATACAGTCTTAGGGCTTTGACTAAAGCCAGTATTTGAGACGGTACAGAGGATAATTTTCCATCTCCGATATCAGGTGTACCAAAGTTTATGGCCCGGATGGTTGTCGTCTAGCCGCACTCAGTGATGAGGTATTCTGGTGTTTCCCCATTTTCCCCACAGAACCTGCATTCGCCGTTGTTTTGGTTTCAGCTTCAGTCTACTGATGTGTACCGGGTGTCCCACTAAGAATAGCTCTCGGCTGTATCTCGGAAAGTATTAGCCGTAGGGCTTACGGAAAAAAGTATTTATAACTAAAGGGGCTATGAGAAATTGCTGGAAATTATTTTCAAGTTTGTAAAACGGCTGCTAGGGGGCGCAACTGCTATGGAAAATAAGAAAATAGAATTTTTACAGAATATTGCCTAGATAATGGGTACTAATAAATAATAGCTTCGTAATCTTCAGTTAATTTTGGATTTTCTTTGTTAGAACCATTTTCCCCTATCTGCTAAAATAAAGTGGCCTTTAAGGCGGATTCTCACGACTGGCGTACTTGACAAGTACGCCAATATTTGCGTACTTGGCAAGTATCCCCACCAGTCCCCACTTTGTACTACATTGGCAAGTGTACTTGGCAAGTACGCCAATATTTGCGTATTTGCCAAGTACCCCTACAATTCTTTTCAAGTAAACAATATAGTCGCATCGATGGATACTGGTCGTCCCGAAATTGTCGCTGCTAGTGATTCTTTTTTCTTTTTAAGTTCTTTTACTGTACACTGCAATACGATTTCTATGTTCTTTATGTTTGGCCATCCATATGAAGGGCTGATTCTCGTATAAATCCATAAATTCCAAAACAACATCATTTGAAGACTACACGGGAAAACCCAGTTTTGTCCATTTTAATTGGAGCCGAGACAAATGCAATTTAGTGTTTTTAAAGAAATATGTTATTTTCGGTTGAATAATTAGAAAAAATATTTATATTACTCCCAATTCTGAATTATTAATATTGTGAATTATCGCCATATTCTGAAATATTGAAATAAAAATCTAAATAGATAATCTAAAAAAAAGTCAAAATGCAAAACAAAACAGGAGAAAACCAGAGATGTTCAATTAAATAAAGGTTGTATAAAACCTAAATCTAAACTATTATTTTTTTTGTTGAAAATTTATATTTAAGTAGGTTTTTATTACAATACATAAATTTATAACCATATTGATAAAGAAAAAAATATTCCGTATATACGTACATAAATTAATTACGTATGTGTATACCTTTAAGATTGTTACATAAGGATAATATTTTTCTATCGATCGTGTCAGACGATGTTTTTGAGAGATTTGTTGATTCATCTATGTTTTTCGGTCAGTCGAGATTATTGTTGTTTATTGTAAGCTTCGGCAAGTTTCGAGCGGAATAAATTTCTTTGTGTTTTTGATTTTCGACGTTTATTTTCCGTAATATCCCTTGTTTTAATAATATAGTACTAATTACAAGATGCATGCTTGTCGCCCATGCATAAGTACATCTCTAGTTTTTGCCATTTACGCGTGGACTACTCTGATTTTTCCTTTGTACGGCAAAATAACCAAGCTGTAATATCTCTGGGACTAAGCGTATTATTGCTTTCTTTTTTCGAATGATGTTAACATTTGTCTATAAAGTTGTATCGCTATCTTAATTTCTATGAAAATGTGACATATCTGGTTTTTTCCGTGTAGTCTTCATTTGTCCACTCCATTTATTGCTGTGAAAACGATTTAGGTATGTCGCTAATATTGAGGTTATTAATGTAAATTTGATATTACATAATCTATTCTTGTTTTAACGTTCTAAATTATCCGCAATTAACTCGAAAAACACTACGATCCGGAAATAAATCGGACATACGCTATAACAGTAACATTATTTGCGCAGTCGTTTTTTTGCGCCTCGGCCAGTGTAAACAAGGCTGGCCCAGGCTGGTCAATGTTTGGCAAGTGTACGATTAATCGTTTGACTCGGGCTATATTTACCGACAGAGAGTGGGGACGCGACAAGTGACCAAGGAACCCGTTCTCACGACATGGCAAGTATATTCCAATATCAAATGTTTGTCAAGTACGCCAGTCGTGAGAATCCGCCATTAGATGCATGCTCGTCCCGAGATGTATACGGTGAATGAAGGTATTTGCAAAGCTGGCCCCTGGTACATTGAGAAGTCTGGTAGAAATAGCAGTCTACAGTTTTCTCGCCCGATCTCAGCTTTGGGTTGTAGCAGCAAACGAGGATCTCGATTCCCGTAAATCTAAACAAGACTTCAATCATGTTCCGGATTGTACGCCAACTCAAACCATCGAGTCCACACGCCAGCTTCGGAATGGCTAATCATGTAATGCTGTTGTTTAGCAGGGCTTCTCTCAGTTCAATCGGGGTCTTCCATAGATTGAGATAATTTGGCTTACTCGGCGACCATTTCGACCAGGTAGAAAAATGTGTCTTGCCTGACCATGTGCATTGTCGGTTAGCCTCAAGACGCTTCCAACCTCTGTTCCAACGTCTTCCAACCTAGATCAAATCTATTTTCCAAGACTCCTTATTTAAAAAATAGTGTTTTTAACGTAGCCATGGCACTCTAGATTGAAATTTAAAATACGACTAGTTTTAAGCGAAAAATTTCGAAGCGAAAAAACAAAAGCTGACATATGATATGTCATTCTATTCAGACCGTCATTTTCTATCGAATAAAGTAAAAATATACGGGGGTGACATTTAAAAATCAAAAGTTGTAGTCATTTTCGGTGAAACAGCAAGTCAAAAACAATTTAATACGTCAATCATATTTTTTATGTCATATACTAACATACCAAATCTCGTTTTGTTATCTGAAGAAATAAAAAGGCATAGGGGTGAGCCACGTTTTAGACGCATCCGGTATATAAAAAAATATAAACAGAAAAAGAAAATTAATAGATAAAATAGAGAAAAATAACAATCTCTAGAAAAACGGGACTCTGGGCTCGTTGACACTTACGGAAATCATTTTTATTTCTACGTATTATTTTTGAACAAAAGCTGTGATATACGATACATATGACATTAAAATATAATTTTTTATACCAAAACGTAACAGTTAAAGAATTACGCTGCCTTGTAAAATGACAGGACAGGTAGGTGTGACTCTCTGATTTAAAACGGACTTGAAATGCAATCGTTCAACTTTACCATTAATTATTATTTTCATAATAAATTTAAGTTCTCAGTTATGCGGCCAGTAGAGATCGGCCCGATCGCTTATTTGCTAAGTTTTATTTTTTAGGTCAGGTCGCTTAGCAGATGTCGTAACATTTTGAATGCAATGAAAATGCCAATTTTATTATAATTTTAAACAAATAAAAATATTACGTTTTAAATTGTGACATAGACGTGCTATAGATATGACCTGCTTTAATGTTTAATATCAAAAGTTACTAGATACAATGTTTAAAAAACACGTAAATAAAATAATTTTTTTTACGTAAAAACAGATTTTCCCGATATAAGGTTAAGGTACAAAGCTCGGTACAAAGGTATCCATATCCAGTGGCGTAGCGACAAATTATGGGCCCCTCCGCGAAACTTGAGTTAGCCCCCCCGGATACATTAAAATACGCAACCAACCGTCATTGAACCGTCCAATCAGATCAAAGGAGTAATCGTCGTAGATCGTGCGTTATCGATAATGTTCGGTGCCTGGAGAAAATTGACAATTGACAAGAGAATTGTTTATTATTTTTGACTTTTAGTTCGTTTAATTTAATAATTACTAAAACCAGTAGTTCGAAAGATATATTTAAAAATAAAAGATAAAATCCAAAAAATTAATTATCTATTAACGTGGATTTGGACGACAATAGGTAAGAACACTAAATTATTTCTATATTCGATATAAACTTGTTTATTAGGTTTTTAGTTTGTGATGTTTCATGTGATGATCATTTTCATGTTCATCGTCTTTGAATTGACATGAGGATATCTATGGAAAAGTAACTAATCTGAAAGTAAGCCAACATATCGTTTGTCCTTTGTGTGCTAAAGAAAAGATTTTCTTTTCGCATCGTGAGGAAGTATTACATCAATTAAAAAATGTTAGGAAGTTGATTACTTGTCATGGAAAAGTATACCAATGGAAATTATTTGTTAAAGAAGTATAATTCTAAGGGTAAATTTTATTATAATTAGTAACCTGTCTATTTTTTATATGTAGATGTTTCAGGTTTTAAGAATAAATTGGTTGAACCCAAAATCTGGAGGAAGTACCTATATCCATACACAGAATATGCCCATTAAGAATACTAGTCCAAATTTGCTTTAATGGTAGGCAATTATTCAATACAAATTAACTTTTTAAGTGACTGAAATATTAAATAGTTTAGAATATGGTATAACAATGTAAAAAAATACTATTTTCAGGAACGATTAGGGCCCGATATATTTGAAACTCATGTTGGACATAGTATTGAGTTGGGTAGAATATTATTCTACGTTAAGTGAGGATATCAGATACCTATTATTGTACTGTATTTTAATATATACATTAGAATTGTTGGTTTTTTCATATTTGTTTTATATATTATTTTACTTACAAGTTATATAAAGTTAACACTAAAATCTACTTTTTGACTTATATAAGTTAGTCTGTGGTTTAATGCGTGATTACATCCACATTATGATTTCAAGTTTTTAAAATATAAATATTATAACTGGCTTTAAAAACTCCATTAAACTGTTAAAAGTGTAATTTATTTCAAAATAAATATACATATACCTATACCTAGGTATATATTAATATCGAAAAATATATATTAATATCGAAAGACATTTTTATTCCTTAACACCAATTTAATCATCACATACATATGTATAAACATTTATTTACGTTATTTCAAATGAAGACCACAGGAAAAACCAGCTTTGTTCATTTTAACTGGAGCCGAGAAAATGCAATTACGAGTGAACTACTCTGGTTTTTCTCCTGTAGGGCAAAATAACTAAGCTGTAATATCTCTGGGACTAAGCATATTATTATTGCTTTCTTTGATGGTGCCTCGAATAATGCTAACACTTGCCTATAAAATTGTCTCGCTATCAATTTCTATGAAAATGTAACATATTATCTGGTTTTTTCCATGTAGTCTTCAAATGATCTAAAAATTCAGCAGGAATGATCCATTATGCAGCAAACACACTGATGTTGAATCATGGGAAGCTTTTTTGTGGGCATTTCACAAATAAAATGAAATGTCTGATCAAAAACTGAAAATGCAAAACAGATAGTAAGCTTTATAAATACATACATATTGTTGCGGGCCGGTGTGGACTCGACCTAACCTCACAATATGGCCCGCCCTCGGATGACCTTAACATCGCATAGACACCGCAATGATTCATTCGTTCGAGAAGAATCGAGTCCCACTGGAATGGACGAGTACATACGAGAACATTCGAAAACCTTCTCTACGCACCTAACGATCTATGGACAATTCTAGAGTTCTTTACCTGCCGGTATAAAAGCCGGCGGCCGTGGCCTACAGGGGGCAGTTATAAATATACCAGTTGAGTTGACGCGCGAAAAATTCAAAATAAATTCTTAGTTATAAATCGTTTGTAAATAGTTCTATAAGTCTTTTATCGTTATTATTTTTGTTCATTAGTGTTAAATAAATAGTGTTTAAATAAATTGTGACTTTCTATCCACACGGAACCGACGAAAAACGTAACAATTGGTGTCAGGTGTGGCGTGTGTGATAGACTAGAAAAATAAAAAGACTAACAATGGCTCCGAAGAAATTGTTGAAAGACTTGAAAGTGTCCGAACTGAAATCCATATTGGAAGAGAGAGAGTGCGAGACAGATGGAAAGAAAAGCATTTTGCAAACCAGACTAAGAGACGTTTTGAGGGAGGAAGGCGAGGATCCGGACACATTTTGCTTTGAGTTCGAAGGTGACCTTGACTCGTCCTTACAAAAATTAGAAGATAAAATTACGAAAATTCCCGGAATTGCAAGACAATTTAAACGACAATTTGAATAGTAAAATAATTGACTTGGAAGTTAATTTAGAAGAGAAAATCAGTGATAAAATTAATATTTTAGAAGATAAGATCGCAGAAAATTCTAAAGACATACAGGCCAGCTTTAATAATAAAATAATTAATTTAGAAGAAAAGATAACAGAAATTATAGAGAATTCTACGGAACTACAAGACAAAATAACACAAATTGAGGACGATGTAAATAAAAAAATCGAAATTTTTAAACAAGAAATAGAAAAGGCCAATTCACCAAAATGTCAAGAAACATCGGAGGCACCGAAACTAGTCGAAAATAAGTATATCTCAAAGTCAGTTATTAAGCCTCCACAGTTTGACGGAAAAACCGCTTGGGCCAATTATTTTTGCCAGTTTGAGGCGGCTGCGAGAGCGAACAGATGGACAATCGCTGAAAAGGCTACCGCTTTGACTGTCGCACTGCGAGGAGATGCGACTGATATTCTGCAGACATTGTCACCATCGGAACAGGGAGATTATCAGCAATTGGTACGACATTTAGAAATGAGGTACGGCCAAGCTCATTTGGAACATGTCTATCATTCCCAGCTAAAAAATCGCATTCAAAAGTCAAATGAGTCTCTGCAGGAGTTTGAAGCCGACGTAGCCCGCCTCGTTCGCCTTGCGTACCCTGCTATGCCCGAAAATGTTATGGAGCGCTTAACAGTACAGGCTTTTATTGATGGTTTACGTGACAACGAGACAAGGCAAACACTTCTTTTAGCTCATCCAACGCATTTGGGAGATGCCCTAGCACGTGCCCTGGAATTTGAGGCCGCGAAAGAATGCTCTAGGTCTCTAGGATTTGTACGGGCTGTTGAGGAGAGTTCCGACGATTCCAAAGTGGAAAGGATTGTGCGGAAAGTACTGGATCAGTATATGAGCAAGAAGGGGGGACCGATTCGCTGTTGGAATTGCGGACAGATGGGAAATCGTTACAAAGAAGAGAAAGAAGTGAAAGTCTTAAGGACGACTGTGGTTGGTGATAGTTGGCAAACCGAAGATCTTGCAAATGACCAAATCAGTGATCCAGAGTTGGGCTTGGTGATTAACTGGAAAAACGCGGACCAGAGACCAACGTGGGAGGAAGTTTGCAGATATTCGCCGAACGTGAAGTCGTACTGGTCCCAGTGGAATTCATTGGTAATAGATAACGGATTACTTCGCCGTGTGATTGAGAGACCAGAGGGACAAGAAGAGAGAAGGCAGATCGTCATTCCAAAGAAGAGGGTCCCGGAAGTCTTGGCGGAAGTTCACAATGGAACCAGCGGTGACATCTTGGTGTTACCAAGACACTTGGCAAGCTGCGTGAACGGTTCTACTGGGTGAACTGCAAAGAAGATGTGAGGGCCTGGTGTAAGAAATGTGACATTTGCGCAGCCATTAATGGGCCACAAAAGCGTGGTAAAGCCCCTATGCGCCAGTACAATGTTGGTAGTCCCTTCGAACGAATAGCGATCGACGTGGCTGGTCCTTTCCCGGAGACGAACGATGGCAACAAATACATTGTGGTAGTAATGGATTACTTCAGCAAATGGGTCGAGGCCTACGCGTTGCCAAATCAAGAAGCGTCCACGATTGCTGATGCCCTTGTTAAAGAATGGATCTGCAGGTTTGGTGTTCCCATGGAGCTTCATTCAGATCAGGGAAGAAACTTTGAGTCCAATCTGTTCCAAGGCGTCTGTGAAGTCCTGAACATCCGCAAGACCAGGACGACTGCTCTACATCCACAATCCGATGGGATGGTTGAACGCATGAACAGAACTATCAACCGTTATCTGGCCAAAGTAGTCTCTGACCACCAAAGAGACTGGGACAAATTTCTTCACCTGTTCCTGTTGGCCTACCGTTCATCCGTCCAAGAATCTACAGGGCAAACTCCAGCCAGCATCGTTATGGGACGGGAAGTGCGCCTACCCTGTGATCTGAAATTTGGTTGCCGACCGGGAGAAGAAGTCGCCGGAGAAGATTATGTCCACACACTACGTCAAAGGATGGACGACATTCATCAGAGAGTCCGCCTAAATATTCAAAGTGCTAGTGACCGAATGAAGGAACACTACGACATTCAAGCTGAGCATGGAGGATACCAACCAGGGAAGTTGGTGTGGCTATATAACCCGCAGAGACGTCGTGGGTTATCTCCGAAGCTACAATCCTCGTGGGAAGGGCCATACGAAGTCATGGATAGAATTAATGACGTCGTATACCGTATCAGAAAATTGCCAAAAGGAAAACCGAGGGTAGTCCATTTCAACCGTTTGAGCCCCTACCAAGGCGAAATAGAAGATCGTGCTGGGACCGTGAGAACCTGCAGCTTTGATCCCCCTGATTCGGAGATGTCCTTTGACGATTTCATGGCCCGATACAACAGCAGTGAGAAGGCTCGCTATGGTGTAACCAAAGAAGATCAACGAGACCTCTTTTCCGTGCCTCCTGATTATTCGCTCGCTCATTGTGTGGCTCGAGATTTGCGGATGTCCAGAGGAATCGCTGCGACGTTCAATGAGAAGTTTGGGCGTGTCGGAGAACTACGCCGACAGGATCCAGAGGTTGGAAGCGTCTTGAGGCTAACCGACAATGCACATGGTCAAGCAAGGCACATCTTCTACCTGGTCACCAAGGAATGGTCCCCGAGTAAGCCGACTTATCTCAATCTATGGAAGACCCTGATTGAACTGAGAGAAGCCCTGCTAAACAACAACATTGCACGATTAGCCATTCCGAAGCTGGCGTGTGGACTCGATGGTTTGAGTTGGCGTACAATCCGGAACATGATTGAAGTCTTGTTCAGATTTACGGGAATCGAGATCCTCGTTTGCTGCTACAACCCAAAGCTGAGATCGGGAGAGAAAACTGTAGACTGCTATTTCTACCAGACTTCGCAATGTACCAGGGGCCAGCTTTGCAAATACCTTCATTCACCGTATACATCTCGGGACGAGCATGTACCCTAAGAAGGGGCAGTGTTGCGGGCCGGTGTGGACTCGACCTAACCTCACAATATGGCCCGCCCTCGGATGACCTTAACATCGCATAGACACCGCAATGATTCATTCGTTCGAGAAGAATCGAGTCCCACTGGAATGGACGAGTACATACGAGAACATTCGAAAACCTTCTCTACGCACCTAACGATCTATGGACAATTCTAGAGTTCTTTACCTGCCGGTATAAAAGCCGGCGGCCGTGGCCTACAGGGGGCAGTTATAAATATACCAGTTGAGTTGACGCGCGAAAAATTCAAAATAAATTCTTAGTTATAAATCGTTTGTAAATAGTTCTATAAGTCGTTTATCGTTATTAGTTTTGTTAATTAGTGTTAAATTAATAGTGTTTAAATAAATTGTGACTTTCTATCCACACGGAACCGACGAAAAACGTAACAATATATATAAATAATCATACCTACATCTATTTATGTCGTACAATCCAACCGATATTTTAATATCCTAGCCCAAGTAAATAATCAAAAATGCACTTTTTATATCAAAAGCAGTAATGTTA